CTTGTGTGCAGATCCAAGTACCTCAGGACACGGTAGTGGCTGTCGACTATTCTAGTCGCGAGCTTCACGGAGATAGCGAGGTAGTTGACTGGCGACCGCAGTTCCGCTTTCTCCTTCTTTATCTTCCTATTAGTACTTTTTTGTTATTTCTAGAATGTTTTGGTCTTGTCTTGTTTCAAAACTATTGTAGCGTTGCTCATGACTTATTGACACCCGAGGTCGGGCTTGTATTTTTCTGCTTTGTTGGTTTAAACTTTATATTTTTATCTGATTTCAGTTGAAAAATGGTTTACTTAAGTTTTTAAATGAAATGTGGATTTAATTGGAAAAGTATCGGCTGGCCTAGTTTCATGATAGGCACCATCATGACCAGGTCGGTTGGAGTTGTGACATTCAGTTGGGTAGTGTTACTCACGCATTACATATGTATTGCTACGTCATTTTCTTCTAAAATGTGTTTTTTTTGCTTTATTTTTCACTTTTTCTCCCAAAATCTTCTATTCGTCATATATTTACCATTTTGAACCACCAAACAATCATCAAATTAAAACCATCTATTGAATCATCACAAAAAGCCAACAAATTCAAACCACTAATAAGCTACCTACTTCTAACTTGGAAATCATACAAAGCTTGTTCCCAAATAGTGAAGAATAAATCACGTGACCACTAGTGTTATTTTTCCTTTGCTTTTTTATGTAAATAATAAAAAATTTAAAACTCTAGAAATACTATTGTCCTTGTTTACGAATAAAAGTTTCAAAGCGAAAAATTGATCAAAAGTACTGTGAATATTTTGACAAGAATGCTAGACTCAGTTAAAAAAATGGATTTGTTATTGAAGTAAATTTCTAGAGAAAGCATAAAGGATGACCTATTGTTTCTTTAGCTCAACTAAACAATTTTTATGATCTAGATTTTATTTTTTCTAGCTCAAACAAACAATTTTAGAGAGAAAAAAGAGTTGAGTTTTTGGTTAGTGGATATAAATGATGGGTCTTTGAAAGAATGGAGAAAGAATTATAGATGGAGTGAAAGAAAAGTGGAGTAATGGAGCTTGGCCGGTCAAAAATGGAGTTTTCCAGCCAATGTTACTGATTTTCTGGTCAAGAGTGTTATTCTACTTGCTTCTCACGCATTTGATGAAGAGTGTAATCACTTTTTATGCCATGTCAAATAAAAGGGTGAAATAATTTCACTTCAAAATATTTTAAGGGGTTTATAAAATTTTCGTAAAGTTTATTGGTAAACTGAGACTAGTTGAGGGGGGTATGTGTATTCTCTCTTATTCTTTACAAGGTGTTGAGTTTAATAAGAAGATTTAAATTGGTATTCTTTCAACAATATGTGTAAGACATGAAATAAGACTAAAACAAGAAAGATAATAAATAATTTCAGAGGAAACAAGAGGGAGAAATTTTTCAAGAAGAATCCATATAGAGAACTGAAGAAAAAAAATTTAAAAAATGAAGAAGAAGGTGAAAAAATAAGGAAGAATGGGAAAAACGAGGAAGAAAAATGTATATTACTGAAATAAGGATAATATTTATTAAAAAAATTGAAAGAGGGTTAGGCTAATTAACCATTATTTTCTGTTAGGTGAGCCATTTTGATGGGTTTTTTCAGCTACCACGCGCTCCTAAGCGAGTATTTACACATATTATACCAGGTCGGCAATTAGGGGGTTTTAACACGAGCGGCAATATAGTTCAGGAGGATTTGGGGACACCAAATAATTTAAGTAAGAAACTGACCAAAATATAATAGTTTAAGGAGATTTTAGGGTGTTAACTCTTAACAAAAGAGAAATGCTTCAAAAGCATTGTAGTATGAGGGAATAAATGTTGTCAAACTGTCTCGACCCGAATTTTTCACAGTCGGAATCGTGGTAGTGTCTACACTTGAAAGCTTGGAAAACCAACGTTAGAAGTTTGCAATATAAAAATCTTATAGATGACTGATTAGCCACTACATCTCAACACATGATAATTAATGTAAGAAATGAAACTTGAATAATAATACTGCGCATGTGAAATCTATATGTCTAGCTACCTAGGGACTGGAGTCACAATTCAAAAACCACTAAGATTAACTACAAGTATTTGGATAACATGAAGAAGTACAACTGTTTGTGAATTAGATGAAACACTAAATAAGTATATGTAGGAGGGGACTCCAGGAATCTGCAGACGCCGGCAGATCTACCTCGGGTCTTCTACGTAATAGCCAGCTACGAACTCAGAGTCAGCTCGGACCGATACCTGGATCTACACAGAAAGTGTAGAGTGTTGCATCAATACAACCGACCCCATGTATTGGTAAGTGTTGAGCCTAACCTCGGTGAAGTAGTGACGAGGCTAGGACACAACAACAATATAAACTTGTGCAGTTAAATCATATACAAGAACAATAATAACATAAATTAAACAAGTAAAGATGGGAAAGGGAAACATGCTAAGGGGAATATCAAATTCTGACAGTAATAAAGTAAAGAAACAAGGTAAATATTAAACTTTGAACCAATAGAAATGGTAACACAGTAACACGTGCACGACATTACCCTTCGTAATTTCACTCTCGCCCTCACCATAAAAATCAACAGAAACGGCACGGCATCACCCTTCGTGCATTAACTCTCTCATAATCATGGCACGACATCACCCTTCGTGCATTAACACTCACAGAAATATGGCACAGCATCATCCTTCGTGCATTAACACTCACTGAATATGGCACGACATCACCTTTCGTGCATTAACACTCTCTCACAATATCGTGCACGGCATCACCCTTCGTGCTTTACACTCTTCCTCACCCAAACAATAGAAATAATAACACCCCAGTAAGAAAATTAGCTATAACCAATCTCGTTTCAATAGTTAAATTCACAATGCAAGTCCCAACTTGAGTCAATACTCAACAATTACCCAATAACAAGAAAATACAGCTAAACTTGTTCAACATGATGAGTAACCAGCTTAAGCATGAATAATATGTGATAAGAGACACTATGGTTACAAGTATAAGACTAATTTGCATACTATGACCCAACCACAATGTATAGATACTCGTCACCACACTTATACATCGTACTCAACAACTAAGCACGTAGAAATTAAGACAACAACATATATTCCCTCAATCTAAGGTTAGACCAAACACTTACCTCGATTCAACGGCCAAAAATCAGGCATCAATTACCACTTTACCTTTCGGTTATACTTTCAATCAGCTTGTATCTAGTCATACTTAACTTAATAACGTCAATAAATGCTAAAGAACACAATTCTCATGCTTAATTATAGATTTCTTAATATTTTTCCCAAAATGTCAAAAACCAATGACGAGCCCGCTTGGTCAAAACTCGAAGTTCAGACCAAAATCCGATTACCCATTCACCCATGAGCCCAAATATGCAATTGATTTTGAAATCTAACCTCAATTTGAGGTCTAAATCCCCAAAATTCAAAATTCCTAAATTCTACCCAACAACACCCAATTTCCCGTGAAAACCCCTAGATTCTAGGATGAAATCTTGTAAAAAGATGAAATAGATTGGAAAATATAAGTTAAGAATCATTTACCTATGGTTTGGGGAAGAACTTGCTCTAGGAAAATCGCCTCTTGGAGTTTAGGTTTTGAAAATTTGAAGAATAAATGAGAAATCTCGTCCAAGACCCTTTTACTCAGTTGTAGATGTCGCATTTGCAGACTGAGCTTCGCAAAGGCGAAGGTGCCATCACAAATGCGAGGACCCTCGCACCTCTGCTGCCTTCGCAATTCGAAGAAAGGTGCGCAATTGCGAACCCAAATTCTCCGCAAAAGCGACCAAAAGATCGCATTTGTGATCACTACCTTCCCACCTTACTTCGCAAATGCAAAGGTTTCCTCGCAATTGCGAGGTCTGCGTGGCCCATCCTCTCTTCGCATTGCGATGGGGAGCTTGCAAATGCAGAACTTGCAGGGTTTGCAATTGCGATGTCTGATCTTGCAAATGCGAGATCAGAGGCCTGCAACATGTTCAGCTATACCAACAAGATTTTCTAAGTTTCAAAACACCCTGTGGCCTATCTGAAACTCACCTGAGCCCTTGGGGCTCCAAACCAAACACGCACACAAGTCTAAAAATATCATACGACTTGCTCGTGCGATGAAATCACCAAAATAGCATCTTAAACAACGAATTTAACACCAAAACTCATGAAATTCTCAAGATAGTTCAAAATTTCTATTTGCACAACCAAGTGTCAGAATTATATCAAATCTCTTCCGTTTTTCACCAAATTTCACATATACGACTTAAATACTATAACAAACATGTACCGGGCTCCGAAACTAAAATACGGGCCTGATACCAACGAGATTACACACTATTCCATTTCTAAAAATCCTTATATTTTCCAGCAAATACTTTTTTTCAAAAATTTATTGCTCGGGCTAGGGACCTCGGAATTCAATTTTGGGCATACGTCCAAGTCTCATATTTTACTACGGACTCTATGGGACTATCAAATCACGGGTCCTGATCCATTTGCCAAAAATATTGACCGAAATCAACTTTAATCAATTTTAAAGGCAAATTTTAATATTTTTCTTAAATTTCACACAAAGGATTTTCAAAAATGCACCCGGATTGCGCATGCAAATTGAGGAGAAGGAAAAATGAGATTTTCAAGACCTCAGAACCCAGATTCGGATTCTAAAATAAAAGATGACCCTTTGTGTTATCACAGAAACGTTTCATGATTTGGCAACGCTTAAATTGTGTGGTCTTTATATTTAAGAAGCACACTTTTAAGCGTTTTCTCAATTTCGTGGCCAAAAGCTTTTCACAAAGACCAACCTATGAAAAGCGTGCCCATACATGGTTTTGGCAACACTTTATGAAAGGCGTGCCCATACATGGTTTTGGCAACACTTTTTAATCGTTGTCTNATATATATATATATATATATATATTGACAATTAGAAATACATTCATACAATACATTATAATTTATTTTACATACCAAGACTAGTCAATATTGTTGAATATTCAACACATAAACATACTTATTTATAGATCTTCTACTACTTGAGAAGATGAGCCTCTATATCCTTGGTCACATCGAGGACAAAACCCAAGAGAGTGAGAGGTTCTGGTGTGTCTTCGGTTTTCTTTTCGTACACAAATGTCCATGTAGCCCAATCATTTTCAAAGGATGCAGTTATAGTGAACGAATTATACAATTCCAAGGTATCTCCTCCTATCACTTTCCAAGTGAATGATTTGTTCTCATCATCAATGGCTTCAATCAGTTGCTTAGTAACCTTGACTTTTCCATCTATAATTATAAAAAAGAGTTACCAAAATACAAGAGATGTTAGTCGTAGCTCAAGTGTCTAATTTCTAATGATAAAACAACAAATAACAATCCAGTATAATCCCACCTAGTAGGGTTTGGGGAAGATAGTGTGTACGCAGACCTTACCTCTACCTTGGAGTTAGAGGTTGTTTCCAAATAGACCCCCGACATCCTTCCCTCCAAGAACTTCTCACCTAGCTCTTGGAGAGACTCGAACCCACAACCTCTTGGTTGGAAGTGGAGGTTTCTTATGATAAAAGATGGAGTGTAAAGTCTCTCAAAATAATACTCCTTTCGTATCACATATATTTTGTGAAGGTGTTGGATTAGATTCAAAGTTTAAGAAATATAGAGCGGCTTGATTTCTTTTCTAGTCTAAAAATGCCAATAGACATTTGTGTTTGTATAAAATCATGTTATTAAGGATAAATATGAAGTTGAAGTTAAAATATTTCTAGATATAGATCTTTTCGTGGATGACTGAAAACAAAAGTATATCACATAAAATGAGATAGAGAAAGAATATGTGTTTAGCTTATTTCTTTTAATTTTCCTCATTTTTCATTTTCATTTTCATTTCTCCGACCATTTTCATGGATCATACACTATTGTTTTATTTTCAATAATATTGTAACTATATTTTGTCTGAATCGAGAGTCTATCAAAAATAGTCTATACTGCGTATACATTATTCTTTCCAGACATTACTTATAGATTACATTGGGTTTGTTGTTATTGTTGCAGTATTTCATTTTCTTCAAAATTATGTGAAGCTCACAAAGGTTGGACTTTTTCTTTTTCGCATTTGTGTTATCATTAAAAATCCGAAAGAAAACTTGACATTATGTGAAAATATGAGATTAGTATTGATTAGAATTTATGTCGAAGCTAACAAAGTAAATCAGAAATAATAATAAAAGAAAAATAGACCAAATAATACACAAAATTGTAAAGTGATTCAAGCAATTGACATATATTCACAAGCTAACGTGAGCAATTTACCATATATATATATATATATATATATATATTAGGAAAAGAAAATAATATTATGATAAATATGATGTCCTTTCTTCGGGAACATGTAACACTCAAATATAGTGAGAATATTAGGATAAACAACTTACAATTAGTAGAAGAGAACAAAAAAAAATCTTAATTAATAGGTAGAAAATTGATGGAAGTGAATCGTAGAGAAAGAAAGAGGGAAAGTTTGTGTTGTCTTACCGTGGTTAAATTTCCAGCCAATTACTGAACCAGCCTTTAGACTTTCTCCTTTATGAATATTAAAATGGTGGATCTTATCAGGGCTTATGTTGCATATATGACGAGGTTTGGTTTGATAAAGGTCATGAAATAAGTGTCCTCTACATTTCACCTCTATTGAAGCAACCAACTTGCCTTTCAAACCCATATATTTTCTTCTATAGAATAGGAAGAAATTGTGAAAAAAGATAAGTGGTTAAAATATATTCAGAAGTAGTAGCCTTTATATAGATATTAATTAGCTCGTGAAAAGCTAGTAAAAAACATAGGATTCTGATATATCATGTTTTTATAGTGGAGATGAAAGATTATGTTATTTAATTTCTTCTAAAATTAGATAAAATACTAAATTGTACTGTGTCTTTTACAATGACATTTACCAACTGAACCAATTAACATGTTGAGATAAGTTTAATGACAGCTCATAAAGCTTCATCGAACAATCAAAATTGAGGCTTTACAAGTAACAGATTCCTAATAATTCATGTCTCATAAAATTATGTGTGATAATTTTACTGTTGTAAAAACAGTCACCTAGCTTTACCAACATAAATTATTGATACTCAAGTTAAAGCTAGAAACGGGCAACATACAAACCCAAAGAAATGCAAGTGGTGATTTATAAATAATATATAATATATTTGAGAAAGGAGCTTTTTTTTTTTTGTGTGTGTGTTTAAATTGTACCTGCTAAATTATTTTTATATTTAGCAATAATTTTAGTCTTACGACAGCTACTATTACAACAACAAGAGTCTGTTTGGAAAGTCACCCTGTAATTAGAATTGAGTAGTAATTACACAGCCTAAGATGACCAGTTTGTTTGTCATAATATAATTACAAGTTTACTGTTTGGTTGCACACGTATAATTAAACAATTAGATTAAATTTTAAATTAAGTAATTATCAAAATTTAAAAATTAATATAATAAATATATGCCTAAAGTTTTATAAGTATAAATAATATTATATTTGGTATTTAAGATGTATATTTTTTTTGAATATAGATTAGTTAGTAATCATATATTTGTAACTAATATTGTAAAAATAATATATATATATATATTTCAAATTAATAATATTGAATTTAGATACTTACAAAAACTAAAAATATACGCTTTGTAAGAACATCATGGAACTCATGTTTGATAAAATAAATTAATATTTATAAATATAATGTCATAACATTATTCAAGTGTTTGACAAGTAAATTCTATGAAATGTGAACAACATGCAACGTGAGCCAATAGTACTAAAACAAATAAATTGGAACGATAAATATAACACAATTTTAAAATTCAAAAAAAAAAGAAATAGTCTAACATATGTCAAATTCCAACATAATAATAGTAAGTTCCACTACAACTAAACATTGCCCGTTTGGACATAAGAAATTTTCTCTTTTTTCTCNTATATATATATATATATATATTTTGAATTAATAATATTTAGTTTAGATACTTACAAAAACTAAAATTATACGTTTTGTAAGAACATCATGGAATTCATGTTTGATAAAATAAATTAATATTTATAAATATAGTATCATAATATTATTCAAATGTTTGACAAAACCAATCTATCAATTCTAACTAAAAAAATGAACAACATGCAATATGAGCCAATACTACTAAAACAAGTAAATTGGAACCATGAACATAACACAATTTTAAAATTCAAAAAAAAAAAAAAATAGTTTAACATATGTTAAATTCCAACAACATAATAATAAGTCCCATTGCAACTTAAGATTAGGAAACATGGTAAGTTTATAACCACATAAAACAACGAAATTTCACTTTAATTGCATCACTCATTATATGCCAAGTTTATTAATGACGCATTATTTCTAATATTAAGAGGTGTAGTTTCAAAAAATAGAATAAGAAAATAATTAAAAAAATAAAATATAAGCAATTACATGAAATCACAAGAAGTAAAGATAGAGAAATAAAAGATAAATACTGTACAAAGAAAGATATATTTAAAATTTCAAAAGAATTAAAAAGTAAAAATAAATTAAAACATTAAAATAATAGAAATAAAAAGTTATAAAGAAAATAAAATAAAATAAAAACAAAAAGGAAAGAAACTAAAAAGCAACCTTGTAATTACACAGTGTAGTTACAACTAATTCTCACTTCCCCCTTGAGAATTGGAGAGTGTAATCACATCCCTCAAATTACCCCAAATTCCATATTGACCAAGTAATTACTTGATCAAATAAACATGTTAAACTGTGTAATTACACCTAATTACATCCAAATTCATTTCCAATGTAACTTATCAAACAGGCTCCAAAAGAATCCAATATAATCCCACGAGCAAGGTCTATACGAAAAAGTTATTATCACAATTTCTAGTAATAATCTTGCTTTAGAAAATGTCAAACAAACCTAAATGGGTGGTTTGGAAATTTTTAGACTGCCCCTCCCCCCTCCCCCCACACCAAATGACGGTTCAACAGAATTGGTAATCAGTTTCGTGAGTCGGAATCTAATTTGACAACATACGGTCACTTAGGGCAAATGCTCCCCAATTCCACCTCCGAGAAAGGTCTCGGACCCCCACCGACACCACCGGAACCCCCACTGATCCACCCAAATGCCCATGCTCCGCAAATGTTCTGTCACCAAATCGGAGGCCCCATGATTACTGAAAACACGCATCTTGGTGATAATCCACTAAAGTATGCATCTGTTATTGGAGGTGCCGTCATCAATGGCAGTATTTTGAAGAAGAAGGTTCATTTCATGCACATGCCATATGAGATTGCATCAAGAAAGGCGGTGGTCTGTTTCACAAAAGAAGAACATGGAGATTTTGGCAGAGACATGTAAAAGCATAGCATGAGTATATCACAATGGTACCTAGTATGTATTAAGTCTAACCTCGATAGAATAGTGACGAGGTCAGGTCAAGGCCCTAGTGGAATACACTGATAATAGCTATATTGAACTAAGACAAATAATGCATCACAGAAGAAAACAACAAACACAAGTGAAGAAATAGTAAGTATCAACAAGAGTCATTATCGAGGTACCACCTCGTAGGCTCAAATCAGAAATCAATTCACAATCTTTTCTTATATCACCGTGGGAGCCTAGCATTTAGTTTTGAAAATTATTTTTCCGAAATAACTTCCCAAATTTTAGCCTACCTTATCACACCGCGAGGTTTCTAGTAGTTTTCCTACTAGCCACACGTAGCAACCCACCTTATTTAACCGCATGAAAATAGCAATAGATTCATAAAATATAGTCCAATCCGGATTAGAATCACTTAAACAATTTTCTTGAAAAACTCTCGAAAAATTGCCTCACACCAAGCTCTCTTGGTAAAAATTATCAAATATGAGATGAAACCTGCATTTTGAAACTTAAATTCTACTGTCGAGTCACCATGTATCGCGATCACAAGCAAAGACTTGCGATCACGTAACACAATTCTGCCCAGCTCAAAAATTACACTTCGCGATCACATGAAAATCATCGCGAACACGATGTACAAGCTACCTCAACTATGTGACCGCATCCTAGGTCACGCGTGTGTGTAGCACAAACCTACCTCAGCCCCAGTATTGTCATTCTTTCTTCGCGAACGCGACTAATGACATGCGTTCGCGATTCACTGACTCTACAAACTTCGCGATCGTGTAATCCATATCGTGATTGCAAAGAAAAAATTACCAGTATCCAACCAACTCTTCGCGACCGCGAACCTCTACTCGCAATCGCGTAGAAGAAAACCAGTAGCAGCAGATTCAGCAGTCTTCAAGGTTTCAAAATGGGCCGAACATGATCTGAATTACACCCGAGGCCCTCGGGACCTCAACCAAACATACCAACAAGTCCTAAAATATCATATGAACACGCTCAAAGCGTCAAATCATATCAAACAACACTAGAATCACGAATCGCGCATCGATTCAAGCCTAATGAACTTATGTATTTCCGAATTTCAAAACTAATGTCGATTCATACCAAAACAACTCAGATTGACTTCAATTTTTGCACACAAGTCATAAATTATATGACTGTCGTACTCTAACTTTTGGAATAGGAATGCGGCCCTGATATTAATAAAGTCAACTCCCACTCAAACTTTTCAACCTTCTAAACCTTCAAGTTTCCAACTTTTGCCAATTCACGCCGAAATGACCTACAGCCCTTCAAATTAACATCTGGGCATGCTCCTAACTCAAAAATCACCATTCGGAGCTATTGGAACCATCAAAACTCCATTACAAAGTTGTCTACATAAAATTCAAACTACAGTCAACTCTATCAACTTAAGGCTCCAACTTAGGGACTATGTGTCCCATTTCACTCCGAAACTCACCCAAAACTAAAACCAAACACCCCCGACAAATCACATAACCATAATACAATATTGAGAAGGTAATAATAGTGGATCGAGGATAAAATACTCAAAACAACCATCCGTGTCATTACATAACAAGGAGCAAGATGCCTCGACTATGGAGGTGGATATTAGAGATGAAGAAAGATGGACCATTGTAGGAATAAATAATTGGAGGAAGAAGGGCAGAAATAGCAACAACCAACTTTTTCTTCCTTCAAATGAGCTAGTAGAAATTCAAAATCCTTCCTAAAAAAAATACATAAATGGTTATTTGAAAATTGTGTTACTATTCTAAAATCTCAAGGGAAAGAATAAAATTCGTCTACAGATATAAGAGAGCAACCCCAGGCACCTACGGAAGAAGTAATGAGCCTGATTGATCAAATGAAATGCACTTCTACTAGGAAGGTCAGAAGGCAAAGGAAGTCCCCTTTCTTTGAGAAAGTGGTTCCTCTTTATGAGAAAAAGAAGTAGGCTGGAAGTGGAAAATGCAAGAGTATAATCAATTCTAACGTTGAAGAAACATGAAATGTTGAAACATACCAGCTTGTGAGACAAGAGTGAATGGTTCAAAAAAAAACTCGCATATACAAGTTTCTTCCATGATAGTGAGGCCTCTAAAAGATACGGATGGGAACCAACGTATAGCTAATAACACAGAAGGTTACCGTTTAACTATTCTCACAGGTGAGTCCTCTAGAATTGGAGCTTAGGAGCAATGTGAGTTTAATGATGTAAATATGGAGAATGCCCCTATTAAGTCTGAATCAGAGCTTGATGACAATGAAGTGGATGAATACTCCCACTTTGAATCT